TATATATGATTACAGTTTAAAAATGTAGTTATGTGACACAAGAACTCTTTCTTAGAATTTAAACAGTTTTGTTAATTAATAAGCTTGCTTTTTGATTTTAATGCTTTTATTTAAAATAAAGCTCTATTGACTAAAAATAAAAAAAACTTTACAGGTATAGCACTTTCTATTAAGGATAAAAACGAGAGTATTTTTCTTATCTCTGTAATACTCATATTTTTCAGAAATAAAATAAAAAAGACGTAAAAAATTTTCTCATGACGATCCAGTAAAGCCCAAAAATTTTGGCACATTTTCATCACACAAAAAACCTGTTGGAAAATTAGCACTCCGTTTTCAGTGTTAGCCCATTCAGGCCGTTTAAATATCTTGCGAAAAAATTTTTACGTTCGGCCAAGCTCTTGGCACGGCTTATGTTTGGCCAAACGTTAGCTAAATATGTGAAACATGCATAAAGAATAAAACCAAAGGACTAGAAGAATTTGCATTAATGTTCTACCTTAGACCAGCAACGAGACCATTCGAGATAGTATGAATGGAGACCATAGGTGGATCCAGATCAACAAAAAAATTTGACACCTCTTGGTGGACCATTTCACGAGATATGCTTTTGTTATAACGTCGGAGACGCAAAGCGCAAGTGACTTTATCAAGCTGACACAAAAGGTGCTTAAAAATAATCATTTTGTAGTGATTCTTACAGACCAGTACCCAGGAATAAATTATAAAAAATTCAAGGAATTTCTAATAGATAGCAACATACAACTCGTCTTAACAGCAGTAAATAAATCCATTTGAATAGACTTACTGCATGATTGAACCAAACGGTGGTAAATAAATAAATTAAAATGCTGAAAAAACGAGTATAATAACAAGAAAGTGTGGACAACAGTAGCACAAAAATGTATAGAGAAATACAATACAACAAAACACTTAGTAACTGGTTACGCTCCAAAACAACTACTTCATATCATGGATACAAAACTCTTACCACATGAGCTAAAAAACATTAAAAAAGAAGAGAACCTGTAGAACAATTGTAAATAAGCAGTTAAAAGCACTTTGAAATGACTCTAATATAGTAAACTTTAATTCAATGAAAATCGCAAAGATCACACGTTTAATAAAGGAGATAAAGTCTACATTAAGAGCAGTAATAAACTAAATAGAAAAAAAATGGGCTCTTAAAGAATCAGTTCCTTCGAATTAACAAAAAAGTTATTCAATACGGCTTATAAGATAAACACAAAAAAAAGAAAAGCTTCGACAAATCATTTCTATACAAAAAAACCAATACTAATTTCTAAAGAAACAGATAAAGAAGACGAATACCAACAAAAGAAAAAAATTTAAAAAGACAAAATGTAGTTTCTTTGATTCAAATTTAGCGCAATATATGTGCACTCAAAGAATGCAGTCGTTAAGAGATAAGAGAACGACAAACGTGGAGTTAGTACGCGACCCATTAGCCAGGAAGCATTTGATTTTATTTCTTCAACCAAGTTATAATTCTAATGGTTTATTTAAAGTTATAATAATTGCGTTTTAAATATCTGATTTGGTTATGGAAAGCGAAAAACAAATAATAAAATACACAAAAAGTATTTTGTTAAAAATATTTTAAGCTTTAGTTATTAAAATACTAAATAGATTGATGCAAACGTTATGAAAACAAATGAAAAAGTTTGAGTTTAATAAAAAAATTTAATTATCGAATTCTATTATAGAAACTATTGTATTGTGATAACTGAAGTATAATGGAGTCACGTGTTGTGTTTTTGTAAAACTTGAAATTGATTAAGTATGACTTGACATTCTGTGCCCATGACGTTCCCCCTTGCCCTTTACTTTTGACAGACCTTGGTCATAAACTGTTAACACCTCTATCATTAGTGGTAGCATGATCTTACATTATTATTATAAGGTTGTTGAAGGCAGATCTTCTGTTTCTAGTAGTGAGAAAAACTTTCTTGAAAATAATGCTAGAAATTACGATGAGGGAATTAATAGCAAATACTTTAAAGAAAATATTAATACTTCTAATAAGTTTCTCTTACATAGTGTAATAAAAAATTAATGGAAACATTTTCAATTAGACAAGTTTTCTGCAAGACATTCCTTTGATATTATAGACATAACTTTTTTATCAATATGCAAGAATTCTATAAATAATTAATACCATAGTTTAATAAACTGTATGTCTTAATCTAAAAACTGAGCATTTTTTAGGAGTGATTATCTCGTTTACACATGGTTTGAAGAAGTGTATGATAGTTCCACGGAACTGAAAACTAATACAAAC